CCCCAAAACCCCAAAACCCCAAAACCCCAAAACCCCAAAACCCCGTAAAATAATTATAATTAAATATGAGCGAAAGAGTTTATAAAAGAGGTACAAAATCTAGGCGAACGAAACATAAAAGAGTTGAACTAGAGTAAGTTCACCCAAAATCTCAAATAAATTTCATAATTAAAACAAAAAATCTACCATATTTTAATTTCCTATAAATGAATCCTTCATTCTAAAAATACCACAAGAGCTTACATCAGCCATCAAAAGAGATTAGGTCTTGGTGAACTGATAGTCTTTAGAGACGGAAAGAATAACCCTCTACACACTATCCATAACCTCTTTTCTAAGCCAAGTTCCAACTATCAAACAGATCATATGGATATTCCAAGAACCTAAATATTCTGCAATCTCCTTCATTACAAAATTTAAATAACCCAAAACTTCACCTATCTCAATTCCGGTGAAATAGCTTAAACATAAAATACGTACTCTAAATAAAATTACGTAGTTGTTAAATTTCATATTTCATACCATAACCAATGAACTCTTGAAGGAGTTTCTCCAGCCTTATAACTGCTGAGTAATATATCTGACCGAGTTGCTTATCAGCTGAAAATATACCCTAAACTGATAGTCTAAAGTTAAGCATAAAACTCAAACATTCTGATTAAAGTTCTCACACAAACTGTTTCTAAAGTCCTTCACAACGCTTCTCTAAATAAATCTTTATTAAATGTTCTACGCAGCCTAGTTCTAAAATTTAATTTTTTTAAAACTCTAGCTCTATAAGATCTTTTTGACCTTCAAGTATTAATTTCACTCTCTCTCATTCCTATAACTTGCAAATCTTGAGAATCGAATAATTTCACAATCAAATGGAAACTATTCCAAGCCTAAACTTTATATACAAATTATCACTTTAAAATGATGTTTTAAGTCTAAATTTTTTAACTAAAAATACCTAACATTCTTTAGACCAGATAGTAGCAGTGATGATGCGGACAGCTGTCATACATCAGTAAAAAGTAAAACTACTAATTCTAATAAAGCAAACTTCCGAGGAAATTCTGGAGGCCTAACCAGATCAGTAATGGTCACTTCGAAAAGACCTCCTGTGTATAATAAAACTATGGGAAAGCCTAAACGAAGGCCGGGCGTGGCTTATTCTGAATGAGCTGCAGACAGTATTGAAGACAAAAAGGAGCTACAGGGACCAGATACATCTCTGACACAAAAAGCCTTGGAAAAGCTCTGGGATAGACTGAAATTTTTGCTTTCAAGTGGTTATGAGATTAAAGACATTTTCATAAAAACCAAATGTACCGGTTTCTTTAAAGATTTCCATATCACCTCAAGGATGACTGAAGAAGACATTAGTAATTATGTTGATCCTTTTGCTGTTCTTTCTCAACATGATGGATATAGCTCCGAATTTGCTTCGGAGCATAATACCACTAAAACTAAGACAGCAAAAAGTATCTCTAAGATCTCTGAGGCTCCAAAGAAGATAAAAAAGAAATATATCAAAACAAAATAAGAAGGTAGAGAGGAATAAACAGGATTTTCTCACAGAAACTAAAGCTGAAAAACAAAAACCAACAGATTATGTACCTAAAGACACTACTCAAAGAAGAGAGCCTAAGATCTATAAAAGATCAGAGAAAGATCCAGACATATATAGATTTAATGTGAAAAAGATTAATGAATCAGATAAAGAAGAAGCCAAGAACATAAGTATTACCAAATCAAGTTTTTCAAAGCCAAATGAATCAAGTTCAAATGCCTCAAAGCTAGGTATCTCAAACTCAACTGTCTCAAACTCAACTGTCTCAAACTCAACTGTCTCAAATTCAAGTGTCTCAAATCCAAGTGTTTTAAAAGACAAGTGCATCAAAGACAAGAGTATAGACCAAACACTTCAATTACCCCAGAGATGAATCAGCTATATCCCTAGTAGCGCAATCAGTACTAAGGAGAGATATGAACAAAGCATTTATGCCAAGAATAAAAGAAAAAGAGAACGCTCTGAGATGTAATATTGAAAAATTATCAATTTAGGAAGAGAAAGGAGGTAAAGAAAGCCATTGAAAACAAAGAAGAAGTTAAGGTAAGCTGATATGCCCATTACATTATTGGAATTGAAGTTGCTATACATACAATATCTCTCCCATGAACTTATCAAGTTTAAAAGAATATTGGCTTAAGATCTCTTCTAAATCGCTAGTGCGAAGCTCGCAGAGATTTAAAATAGCCTTAATTAATTGCTGTTTTATTGTATTTTTACACAAAGAAACTTTGACCATAAGAAGGGCTTAAGTTAGTTAAAATTGGGCAAAGCTAGGAAGGGATGCCTCTATTACATTTGTTTATTCTATCTATCAGATAATCGGAGAAGATATCTGTGCTTTTTGGAATTTTGAATGCATTTTGTTTGTGCTGAGAAGAAAATCCTTAAGAAATATTAAAACCACCAGTTTTTATAGCAAAACTGAACTCTAAGCTTTTTAATGCAGCCATTATTATCAAATTTGAGCCCTATTTTAGGTTTGTGATTTGGGGATCAAGCTTCTCTATTAGCCAGTCTCAATGAGCTAAAATTTATGATTATTTTCAGAATTGTCACTCTCTATTCCTGGTTCTTTCATAAATTTACAAAGGCTATCAGTTGGATCTTCCAATAATTTGTTGACCAGATTTATTGATATGGTCTTAGGAAACTGGAATCTGTAGAAAATAAATTACAGCTAAATTTTTCACTAAATAGAGAAGAAGCCAGAATAAATATCTTTTGCTTTCCTTCTTTATATAACATTTCCTGAGAATAATTTTTATGTTTGAATATTTGAGATAGCTTCTTCAGACTGCATCCAAAACTAATTTTCCTCTTAACAAATCATCCTCAAATCCTCAAAATTTCACAATCAATTATTTCTTCAAAATTCCCAAAACGACCATTAAAACTCAGAAATCTTCCAAAACAAGTATTATCTCTTTTATGTTTCAAAAACACCACCCTAAAGTTAAAATTTTGAGCTTTAAATCCTCTCTGACTTCTCAAATGCACTAAATTTCCCTCTTTCCATCAAACATAAACAGCCCCTAAACCTCTCTAGAACGCCCCAAGAATCGACCTCAGCTCCATTAAAGAAGAAAGTAACCTCTCTCTAATCTGTAGAACCAATCTGTACTGAAATTTTACCCTTTAACCGAAGAGAGCTCCAACAGTGGAGAGTCAAAAACACCAATGTTGATAACATATTCGAAGATTACATCAGAAAGAGAGAGGCTAAACTTTCTTTCCTTGAATTTGGATATCCAGAACCTGGTAGGGTTTCTTAGTAACTCTAGATCCTAACTCTGAGAATTATGAAATGCTGCTTAAGATTAGAGAGATGTTGGAAGCGAGACAATATTTGAAGTTCCGTCTTAAGAGTATACTCAAGTATAAGCTCTTGATCGTGTATAAAGACTACTTAAGACACATGAAAGATGACAAATTGACTACGTAAGTTGGATTATGTGTTGAGTTCATAACTCCTTTAGGTACAAGAAATTTGATAAAGACCATGATGTGTGTAGTATCTGAATCACAGAGTTTGAAGAAAAGGATTTAGTAATCAATACCAACTGTGGGCACTACTTCCATGCAGAATGCTTTGAGATGGTGATCATTTACAAAACAAATTGCCCAATGTGTAAAGCAATTTTGATGTAATTCAATCGATAATCTTACCTCTGGGGTTTTGGGGTTTTGGGGTTTTGGGGTTTTGGGG